GTGAGTGAGTGAGTGAGTGAGTGAGTGAGTGAGTGAGTGAGTGAGTGAGTGAGTGAGTGAGTGAGTGAGTGAGTGAGTGAGTGAGTGAGTGAGTAGAGTGGAGGGAGTGAAGTGAGTGGAGTAGTGAAGTGAGTGAGTGGAGTGAGTGGAGGGAGTGGAGTGAGTGGAGTGAGTGAGTGAGTGGAGGGAGGGAGGGAGGGAGGGAGGGAGGTACATTTTCGATCGGGGGAAGTACCTTTACGAATAGCGTACATACCCCTCGGCGTGGGACGAGTGGAGATACGCCATGCTGAGGGAGCCGCTTGCCTCACATCAGTAGTGGAAACCTGAACTCGAATTTCTCTTCATAAAAATTGGTGATGTGTTGAATTCGTATGGATCAGTAATGACTGCGAAGGGCTGTTCATTTCCAATCAATAAGCAGGCATCAAAACTTTTTTGTCTTTCTCTACTTTGTAGGGATACTCAAACGTATCACATAAAGTTCTTGTGTTCTTATGTTTCCTAGCTTTGAACACAAGCACGTCTTTTGGGTTCAAATTTGGGCTTGTTTTTATTTTCGCCTTTTTTATTTCTTGTTTTGTTTTTGAGATTAGTATTTTGCGACTAGCAAATAGTACTGACTTCAGAATTTCGTGAGTATTCATGTGTATTTTATTGTTTGTCATTTTTTTTGTATTGATTTAGACTTGTTTCTATTTCCCGAGTATCCAAACATTTATGAAATTTTCAGGTTATGTGGTTTAATGTAGTATGAGGATTTACATAAAACATTTTTTTTTTTTGCGTTCACATTACATCTCTTTTTATTTTATGTTACAACAATTATAATCCTGTTTTAATTCTCTTTTTACCTTTTTTTAATTGGGTCTTGAGTGTTTGTTATACGTACTGCTGTATCCAGTTTTCGACGAATAGTTGTTGTGTTCCTCTAGCGTATACTTCTTTCCTTAATTGTACCTAGTTAAATGTACCCAATTTCTTGTGTTCCAGGGGAGAGTAGTTAAATAAATTTTATGTAATTTACAAGGTGTGTCCACGCCTATTACAAGGACTCAGCAATCAACGATTATTAACAAATAAAAGGAAAACCTCGTCAGCTTGCTTTTGTATTGATGAAGGGACTGAACTGAAATTTTGAGACTTCGTGTAACACAGTCAGGTGAGTGTAATGAATCCAATGAATGTAAAAATGAATAGGGATGGCATATTAAAGTATACTTCATCATCTTACTTTTTCTTTTTCATTCATTTCAAATCTTTACAGAAAGTAATGGCAATTGCAACCATACCTGCTTTCAGTGATTGGAGTGAAACATTCCTTAATAGGGGATTCCAGGATTAGTTGCTTGCAAGCCTCTATGTTGTCTTCTGCACTCTCTCACTTTCCTGTAGTGTGATGTACACGCTACTGCTAAACAAAAATATCTCATGCGAGATCAAGTAAAGAATTTTTATTTTTTTTACACAAATATCTGAAGGGATTTTACTTTACTGCCTTCCTGCCTTGGAAGGATCAGCAGAGAGTTGTCAATTAATTACAAGAACTTCAAGATATTACCATATCTTTTATATAAAACCTGATCCTGATCAGAGCTTTTGTATGTTAAATTAGCTACAATTTGACTCAATATATCAAAGGTGAGAGTTCCCAAATATTTTCTGTTGAACTAAAATTTCATGGTTTGCAAACATATCTAATTCATGTTTTATTATCAGAGGGCTGACCATTATACCATGGATCATCAAGAGAACAGTCTATTTACATGCTCAATATGTAATAAAAGCTTTGCCTCTAAATCTGGAATTTATGGACACAGAAAAACTCATCTTGCAACTACTTCTTTCAAATGTGAATTTTGTGGGAAATTTTTCAATGTAAGTCCTGCATTAATTTTTTTGAATACTTGTTGTTGGGTACTATGTTATGATTTTGCTTATTTAAAACCATTTCTATTTTAGAGAAGAGATAGTTACAATGAGCATCTGTTAATTCACAACGGACCAAGGCATAAATGTCCGCACTGTGATAAGGAATTTGTTCAAAGATCAAATCTTGCACGACATATCCGCATTCACACTGGTGAGTTCATGATGATGTTTGCCTTTCTTTGTTGACTCTTAGTTTGACTTTTTATTTTCTGCTCAAAATCATGTAGGAGAAAAACCATACAAGTGTTCGTTCTGTGATAAGACCTTCAGTGACAAAGGAGCCTGTAATTCGCACATACGAGTACATACCCGAGAGGAAGCCTGTAGTTGCCCATACTGTGGTCAGATCTTCTCCAAAAAACAGGTAACATGTTTTGTTGTTTACTTAAAAGGTTAATGCAGTATAGGACCCATTTTAAATTTTAAATGTGTGTTAAATACTCAGAAACTGAAGTACCATATTCGGAAACATACTGGAAAAGATCTTGTTAACTGTGAATTTTGTGGCAAGGTAAGTTCATGCAGAAAGTGTTTCCTTTTGATCTATCATGTGTCTACTCTGTCTTTAAATACACTGCTTCTGTGTTTTCAGACTTTTACCAACAGTCATTCTCTCAAAGAGCACAGGATGATACATGATCGCGGCACTCAAATTTTGTGCTCTCAATGTGGAAAGGCCTTTTCAAATGACAAGTACTTACAGCGACATATTGCTGTGATTCATGAAGCTACAATGTTGTTCCAATGCCCCTTGTAAGGACTGATTTGTGTGATTTTTATTTAGTTTAATTGTCATTCCATACGGTAAAATTTATGTAAAATAATGAATTTCCAGGTGTTCAAGAAGTTTTAACCAACAGGGTCGTTTAAAAAATCATCTGTTAACTCACAGTGTGATAAAGCATTTGCAGTGTCTGTTATGTACTAAAGGATATTCAACCCGCAAATCCTTACGCCATCATTTGCTTAGTGTTCATAATGTTACAATTGAGCACCCGGAATATAAACAGTGCTTTTATGCTATGACACCAGATGAAGCAGGGGTTACAGAACTAGTGTCATCAAACCCTCCAAATCTCAGGCCCAAGCTGGAATGTCAGTATGATGATAGTGATGACTTGGAAGAATTGAGTGAAAATGAAACTACCAAGCCTCCTCAACTTGTCCGACAAGGATTCCTTAAACCTTCTTCAGTCAATCCTCCAACGCCCTGCGTCAAAACGAAAGCAGCAGTGAAGCAGTTACCATTTACTGTTAATACTGGGAAAAAAAACTGTATGCCTGCTTCAAGGATTAGTAAATGTACCTCACAGATAGTCAGTAATAAAAGAATGAATCCTCGGAGAAAAACTTCAGGTCAGTGTTGATTCAATGTGCATGACTAAAACCTGAAGACTTTTTAGTATCAGTGTGTGATTTTCACTTACACCATTATGTGAACAAATTAGTTCTCATGTTAAGAACAAACAAATTTGTTCTCATTACGTATTCGTGATCTAATGGTAATTTTGAATTAAATTGAATGAAAGAATGATATTGGTTTGTTTTTATTTTCTTTCATATGATTTTAACATTAACAAAACTCATGAACACAAAGTGCCAATTGGTTTTATAGAATTGTACATTATTATTGAAGTTGTTCTTTACATAAACTTGAAGCTAATAAGACTGGGGACTTCAAGGTTTGTAATGAGCCACCCCAAATTCTTTCATTAAGTTCAATGACAAAACAAGCAAACATAAGGTATCATAAATTTAATTGGGGATTTGTACATCTACATATTGGCAAAATTGTGCCACCTGCTCCTCTTCTCAACTTTCATAGTTCTTCTTAATATCCTTCCACTGTTTCTGTAAAAGAAAAAAATAGGAAACTTAAAACACATACATCATAGCTCAGCAGCATTTACATTACATCCTGTATTAATCAAGACCGCCCATTGAACTATGTTAAATTGAGTCCCATTTAACCTTCTAAATCCCACAATTGTTACAAAATAATACCAAAATTGATATCACAAAGTTAAGAAAGGGAAGCAGTGACGCTTCTTCTCCGAAAATTTTTGCTTAATGTCAGCGAGTTAAAATAAGCTGGTTGGGTATCACAACGACCAAAGCAATTTAACTAACATGCAAAAGGAGATCGACAAAAAACGTTTTTAGATACACTATAGAAAGATGGAACAAATCATAAGAGTCAAAGAGTGAAGCTATAACCTTAAAATACTTACTCCTTCATTAATTTTATCCCAAATTGTGTTTGTAAGGACATCAAATGATCTTTCAAACACGAATGCGCCAACTATAACTGTGAGTGCCATAGTTGACGTTCTCTTAAAAAGCATGTCGGCGATCCCCATGATGGAAGGATTTAAAGAAGATTTTTCGAAACGTCGAGTCTTCTGCTCTCCTCTAAAGATTCTCCTTGAATGGTTTTTCAGAAGAGTGTAACAAAGAAGAAGAAAAGCACGACACAGGAGGAGGGTCAGAAATGTTCACCAAGCAAAGGAGCTTGAGATTAGAAAGGCAAACTTATCGAATCGGATCTTGGATTTAAGTAAAATTATTTGTTGATATGAATAAACAATAGGGGGATTTAGCGGCTTTGAAAAAGAGAAATTGAATAACTCCAGCACGAAAGTTGGAACGCACCCTATAAACATTACCCCACCAGTGACAAAAAGTAGGGCGAGTCACTGTACAATATAAATAGATTTATCGCGCTAACGTTCTTGATTTTGTATAATTACGAGACGAAATATTACCTTATGAAGCGCAAAAGTAAGGCACTCAATGATGACATTATGATTATTGTGAATTGAGTGACAAGCTCCAATCGATTACGTCACGAGTCCCTGTGTTCCTACGCCATGTTAGCACAACTGCCCATCGAGGCAAAGTCTGTGCCTAAAAAGTTGAGAAAATCTTTATAATTTATATAAAAGTTTCTTTTTTTACGATTTAATTGTGCTGGCAGTGAAATCACCGCAATAAGCTACTTGGGTTGAAGAAATTCATCGTAGCCAAGAGTAACTTTACTTGGAGCCTGTCAAAAAATCTGCCAAAATTCCGGTCCCTACAAGAAAACGCGAAGGCGCCTATCCCGGCAGAAACGAGGACAGTAAAATGAATAACAAACGAAAAAATCGTCCAAACACAGGAAGGTAATAATGAAATGGCCGATTTAAGTAATGCCGATGTGTACAATCTGGCTGGTCTGCGGCACACTGCTTTCACACAAACTTAAGTCACGCGTGTGCGAAGTTGTGTACGTTGACCCTTGCCTAGCAGCTATTCCTAATGTGGCCTAAATGGAAAGACTGCTGTCATTTTGCGGATTTCCCAAGAAACGTATTCCAGTTCACTAATCGCAGTGTATTCTTATGCAATATTAGCTCGTGCGCTCGGTCTTAAGTGTTTTGCACTGTGGTCTTGTGTATTATTGTTTTCGTCCGATGCACGTAATCGAGAATTCACGGTTTTCAATTCCTATGGTTTCTGTGCAAAGCTCGAGATTCCTTAGTATTTTGCCATTTGTTGTATGTTTCAAGTTTTATCACTGTATGTACTTCATCATACCCATTGGTTGAATTTTTTTGATTAGGAAGTTTTTCTCTTGTAAAAGGGTAATCTGTTCTATACGGATCAGTTTTTATATTTTCTGGAACACTTTTTATGTGTTGTTACTTTGTTATTATTGTGTATCCGAATTCTAAAGTGTGTTGTAACATTTTCTGATCTCTCAACGATCTGACAGTTATATCATAGGTTATGTGTTCTGGTAGCCCAGAAACAACAAACGAACAAAACGAGAAATT